TGTTACAACGTAAGTCCTCCCAAAACAGAATGTGTCTGTTATTAAAAAATACATCAGCATTTTGCCATCTGATTGAAATAAGAACTAGGTATATTTTAGATTTTGTTTTGTTTCAAATTGCTGCATTTTTTCTTTCCTTTTCTTGTTATATTAAACCACACCAATATTTCAAGAGTCCTGACTGCTTTCTCTTCCCTTACCTCTCCTGAACAATGTACTGAATGCTACAAATGAAACTATTTCATCCTTTTCATGCTTTGACATTATTATGTTGAATAAAATAGGATGTTTTCACCAGTTTTATACACAGCATTTTATTTTTTCTTTACGAATGTTACAAAAAATCATGTTAGCACTTCTGAAATTAGATGGCTGTGATTTATTATGGGTTTTCATATCACCTCAGGACAAGATACAACTCTGAATTCCAAGTTCAGAGCCCTGTTACTATAATACCTTTCCCCAAAACCACTCCTCATTGTTCTCGTAGCACAGGCTGTTACTCTATCTCCTCAGACATGGCTTTCTTCGAAAATTAACCTTCTCACGGACACAAAAAAATTTCCAAAAGTGATTCTAGAGATAAAAATTTCTTACTTGCAGGCAACCACCACAACACTGCCTGTGGCAGGCAGGTATCATGATGCCTGTTTCACAGTTAGGGAAACTGAGGCATGCATGTCAATGATTTGGCAGTCTGAAAGTTTGTGACAGAATCCAATCTGACCCATGGAGACAGGTGGAAGCAAGAACCTACAAATTTACTGCAGGCACCCAATTCTGTATGATATGAATGAATATAAATGTAGGAGACAGCCTGGTTCCTTCTCATGGCTGTGAATGTTCCAGCTACTCAGTACAGACTGTGACAAATGGTAACACTGACTTGAAGGAGTCTTGTGAGGAGGCAACACTGAATTTCTTTCTGCAGTTGCAAACAACTTGTGTTACACTGGGGAAAATCCAGTGCATCTTCTGAATGCATTTTACCCATCACAAAAAGTAACAACTCTGAAGTGATGTATTAAAAGCAAGTGAGAGTATAAGCCAGAATGATTTACACAAAGAACTCTGTCACAAGCAAATGCAGAACTTGAGTTTTCACTTATTTTGTGCCTAACTAGGATGGATTTTTCTCTGAAGAGCTGGATATAAGGATTTGTAGCAGAAATAACCATGTGTAAAATATAGTCTGGTTCACATCCTTGTCTACCCTGCTGTTGGGGAGGGATAACCTATACTCCTACTCTTCTATTCCTTTTTTATTTTGTGAATAAAAAAACTGACCTTCACTATTTGTTCAAAGCTCTTGGACATCCCAGCAGCCCAGCCAAACAGGAGCTGCAATGACCCAAAGACCTTCTCAGGAGGTCTCATGGTATTCCCAGGAGACAGCTCCCATTCAGACCCTTTGAGAAAGGACACTGGCATTTCTGAAGCTCAGCCAGTTTCTGGTGGTATCCAAAGCAGATTATCAAACATATCAAGCTATAGAGACCCCCAAAATAACTTAACCATCACAGTATTTGTGCATTTTTAAACAAATGTTTTCACTGAGAAAGAAGTCCTCCCAAAACAAGGAGTTTACAGGTCTTGTATCACTGATTTTGGCAGCATCTGCAGTCAGACAGATTAAACAGCTATTAAATGCCAAGGAAATAATACAACAGTATCCAAAATGGTCTCAATAGTTTTCCTAGTTCTCCTTTACATTGAGCTGAGCTGCAAGAATGGAATCCCTAACTTGTCACCAATATTAAAAAAATGACAGGAGGGAAGATAAGAGGAGTGTCTCAGTGGAGGGGAATACAGTATTGACATTTGAAACAGTCAATGTGGAACAATTTTAATGGAAATTATGAATATTTCTGAGCACTTGATAAAACAGAATATGTATTATTGACCCACTTTTCAAACGGCCTCAGCTCCCTGCAGGGAAACACTTCTGTAAGTGCAGTGTTCAACCTCTTAAAAAGAGGTTATTTCTTCCCACTGTTAATAAAAGAACCCTCAGACAGCCAGCTCAGAGTAGGTCACTGTGGACCTCTAAAATCTGGATCGCTGAAGCTCACCCTGCCATTATAACTTCAAAATACATCAGTTATCACTAAAACTCATAATGTGACTGGCTGATACTATTCTCCTTCACTATCCATCATTATTCCACCCTACCCAAAGGCAGTTAGGCACACGTAGATACAATATCTCTCTTCCCTCTCAGTCTTGACTTTGCAAAATTGTGCTTCCTTTCATATAAAAATAAGAAAAAATCTGAAAAAGACAAATCATCAGCTTGAGATGCTATATACAATCATTCTCATGGCCTCTTTACTCCTCCTCTTCTCAGGGACATTTTTCTTCAAAGTTTTAATCAAATCACCTTTCTCTCCTTTGTTTTCTGTGCTTTTCTCCTTTACAATTTTTTTTTTTTTTGGCCATGTTTTCTTCTGCTCCTCAGTGGGCTGATTTTGAATTCAATTTCCTCAGGCCACTGCCTTTACCTTTTTGCCCTGCTTTTGTCCTTGAGTTCTTCCTCTCCCCTTCCTTCTGTGATTTCCCAGTACCTCTTCCCCAGGACTCTTCCCCAGTCTTATTTCTGCCTTTTGATATTACATAGGAAAAGAAAATTTGTAAGGCTTCATTATCCCAAATCTATGATGGTATCCAAGCTATTTAATTACCAGCCAACTGGTCTCAGTGATCTGCACATCTCTGAACCATTTAGGTGCTTATACTAAGCATATTCAACATAGATTGGCAGAATGGTTTGGATGGGAAGGCACCTAAAAGATGACCTAGTTCCAGCCCCCTGCAGGGACATCTTCCACTAGCCCGGGCTGATCAAATATAAAATATTTGCTTACATGGATGGAGACACTCAATCAGAGAGAAGGTAATATTCATTAAGTCAAGGAGCTACTGAACAGCCAGTGTACTGCAGGAGATTAATGCTTGGTCTAAGACATTAAGACCCCTCATTTTTGCTAAATGGCTGAAATATATTGAATGAGTATGAGGAGAAAAGAAGTACATGTGTTGAGGGTAAAGATTAAGCCCATTCAGATCCTTTGAGGGACTTGCTAAAGATCAGCTAATGCTTTCTGCCAGGAATAGGCTCCTTTTGATGCACGAAAACCTGAAATGTAAGACATGCACAGATAAAAGAATTCCTCAGAAGGTGTGCATCAGGAAAGCATTTAGAGCCTCTCTGCAAGATAAAGGCAGACAGAGACCTCTCTGATTTAATCTAGGTATAAGAAGAGGAAGTCTGGTTTTCATTTCTTCACCTCTGTTTGTAAATGGCATTTCTATATAGTCCATTTGGTCTTAAGTAACTAGTTTTATTTTCACATTACACAAGAGCATTCTTCTCCCAAGCATATAGCCTGAGGCACTGGGATATCTTCAGCGCTATAGGAGATAAACAAGTACTTATCTTAAAATTATATTGCAAGCAGGAAGGCTCTTTGACATGTAAAAAGACAGTAACAGAACACAGCTAAAACAGAAGAGTCTTATATGAACTTTGTAATACTGTCCCTATAGACTCTTTGCATCACAAGCCTCCTCATCATGTATCTCAGTCCCATTTCAAGACTCTTTCCAAACTCCCATGACTTTCTAGCAAAGCCTGGAAGAGCCACTGAAATCTTCATGTCACTCTTCCCACTGCACACAGATGGTTTTGTTTGATTACTCAGAATGTGACCCTTCTCTTGCACAGGCTAAATCCTCTACAAAGAGCAGTGAAGTCCCTCCACAATGACAGTCAGCTACATCTGGAAATACAGAAGAGTATGAGGAGTGCCCAGCAGAGTACTTGATTCACACTCACCTCTAGCAACCCACTTTGAGCAGAAATTCAGCTGGGAAACCAGTAAAGACGGAGATGTGCCTACACGGAGGTACGTCCAGAAAATGCCAGCCTTACATTTCAGAAAAGAATTTAAGAAACAGTTGCTGGATAACTGGGTAAGTGACTTGTAGATAAGTGTCAATACAGACATCTCAAGGACAACAGCTTCCTGGCCACAGAGAATCTTGTGAGAAGTCAACAAGAGACCAGAGAAGAGTTCCACCTTCTTTGGCCTCTAGGGAAAACATTTTGTTGTCCCACACCTTTAGTAATTCAGAATCCAAATGAGATCAAGCTTTATTTTCAGTGTTGATGGCAGCATGTTAAGGATGACAGAATCATTGATTTCTCAAGAATACATGTTTTCTGCTAGATTAAAAGCAGTTGTTTCTTCTTAAGAGGAAGATAAGGTTTGGTAGTTATTAAACTTGTAGCAAGAAAAACAGAAAAGGATACAGCACCAAGAGAGGAAAATAATTTCTTCAGGTATAATGAACATTAAATTAGAAGTTTAATGATCCAGTGTAATAATTCTCTGAATTCAAGAAAGGCATGTGGTATCCAGCTGGCCAAGAGGAATTTTGACTACATGCCACCACAAATGTAGACTCTCATTTAATGTCTGTGAAACCAGACCAAAACGCAAACACGAATTTCATATCAGTCAAGTGCAAAGCACTTATTTGGTTTTAGGTCCTTGACTTGATTTTTCACAGGTTGCAGCTGACAATCAGATGCCTTTCCAATCAAAATGTGACCTTATTCTCTGCTCAATCTGGTCCTGAGTCAATGACCACTGAGAGGCTGAAACTTCATCCAGTTTCTGGATTTCTGCTGTAAATGAATGGTAACTGAGATTTGGTAATTGGAAGGAAAAGGCCTTGTACCTCAACAGAGAAGGAAAATGCTCTGACCCCATAAAAACTGCCATTTGATTAAATCAATAAAATTACAGCAGAAGAAACTTCAAGATTGGTGAATATATGAGATCACCATATCACAGATTAAATCTGCTTTTTTTTTGCTTTTTGTGTGATTTTTTTAACAGACTCCTAATCTATGAAAATAAAAAGTGGATGCAAATTTCCCATGGCATGTGTTCTGACTGTTCATACTGAGAACACAAAGTAACTTTAAAGGATACCTTCTTTGTGGCTCATAATGCATTGCCATATGAGAGGACTGTTGCCCCCATCAAGAATGAGATGTCCCTATTAGTCTTCTCAGACTCTAACTTTCAATTTGTTCTCTTCACTTTCAGAGAGCTGAAAAAGAAAAGAAAGGAATATTAAGTCTTCTACTTCATAATAGCCTTCACAAAGCTATATCTTTCTTAGACTGTATTACAGCCTTTCCTTCATTTAATAAATTCATGACAATTGGCAGACACAAATAACTGTGCTTCAGTGTCATTACAAAATAAAAAGCAGTAACACTGTTTATTAAGAAAATACTGTGCAACTTAGTAAAAGGATATACTTACCATGAGCTTAAGTTTGTAGATGGAGAAATGTCCTTGATCCCTGTGACATGGGCCAGGTGGATGAGACTGGCTAATCTTTTGGGTATCCAAGGACATCACATGCAAGAGCCACTGGCAGTGAAGTGTGGGAGGTAGTTCCATGTCTGGTTGCTTTCTTTTTGAAGCTATCTTGAAAATGGAGAGATTTCTTTTGCTTTTTTATCATCATCTTGCAAAAGGCACAGATGCAACTTTTGGCATGATTTCCCTTTCAGGGTATTGTTCTTTTAATGTAAGTATGAATTTTGGATGTATTTTCTTCCTCCTGTCTTGTCGTTTAGGTTTACTTAATCTAATTGCCAGAAGCAGACAAGAGTAATGAAAGGAAGAGCAATACTGCTTCTTATTTTCCAGAATTTTTCTATTCTGCTTTTCCATGTTCATTCTCTAGCTTTCTCCATGAAACTCATTTTTCAGCTAAAGACAGGTTGTTTGCAAACAAAGACACTTAGATGACATATTTCCAAACAATATCTTGAACATTAGAACTAACTAACCCCAGAGAAATTCCCCCACTCCCCCCATTTGATAGGTCTGAGTTTTCCAAATATAATATATTGAGTACAGATGTACAGGGGAAGACAAGTCTGAAGAAAAGAAACAATCAAATAAACATTAGGCATAGGAAGCATCCACAGCTCTACAGATGTGATTATTGTTGGCAAGCTTCTACAGAATTACCCACTTGCTACCTACATGGGAAGCACAGCATCATAGTTAGGGTTTCACCAACAAATCCGTTTTGGGGAGGAACCTCTTTTGATGAACATGCTCACCCACCCCTGACTCCCACCCAGGCAGCACAGCAGAGACACAGGCATCTATGCAAAATTAATTCATTTTCGGTTATAGTGTTGACCTTCCCTGCAAACTATGACTAGAAAGGTGTGTGTATTCAGGTGATTCAGAGCTAAACTCATGAAAAATTTCAGCTGTAGCAGAGCTGCAAGTAAATGAGAACAAAAAAGGTCAAGAGCAGATAAGAAGCAGTCGTCCTGGCCAGGTCAGCAAACAGCCCCTGACTTGAGAAGTGGACTCAGGCAAACACACTGAGCTGGCTATTCCACCTCACAGGTTAACAGTTCAAGGACAGCAGAATATTTTCCTTGCTTTAAAGGATGTCTGCTGGCACAGGGAGGAATCTAATTCAGAGCAGTTTTCTGAAGAACAAGCTCCAGGGGTTCCCCATGACACAGTTTTCAGGTGTAAAAGGAACAGCAGCAGAGCAGAGACTGACTTTGCACTGTCCCCTCAGTGCACAGTCAGTGCTACCCAACTACAGTGAAAATAGTTGTGTGCTACTGAGTTAGAATTTCATTTTCCAACACTCAAACTAATTATTAACTTTTATGAGAAAGATACAGCTCTTTGGCATATTTATAAGCCTAAATTTATTTGGATCTTATAAAAACATGTCCAAACACCACTATGCCCACCTTTCTATGTGTCTTCTTTGGAGTCTGCTCTGCCACACTGTCCATCTCTCCTTACATTATACTATAAGCTCCTTTAGCTGTAGCCATGGAAAAATTATTTCACTGTCATTTGGGTGATCAGCATCCTTTGTGAGCTTGATTTAGGACTTAATCAAGACTCAGTGCAAGCCAATGATATAAGAACCACAGAGATTCCTGTGAAAATTTTGTAAGTGTGTTCTTCCAGAAAGTTCTTGGGTATCTGATGCATAGCCAGTAAAACAAAGCTGAAAAATATACAAGTTTACACCTATTCCAGAAAATGTGGTATGCAAGCATGACTTGGACATTGCTACACTTTGCTTTACTTGGAGAAAGAGTAGAGCAGTTGACAGAATTCAGTTAAATTGGATTAATTAACCTAGAGAGGAGGAGATGATTGAAATGTCAAATTTCAGAACACGGCCAGAATGGAAACCTGTGCCAGTCACTTGGTAGCTTGGTCAGTACCATGCACTGAAAACAAGTGGATACATGAATCTCCATTCCCCCAGATAAGAAACTAATAGCTAGCTACTGCCTAGTCCAGAGATATATCTAAAATGCTTTCATGTTTTCCCATAAGTATCCAGAAAAGAAACTGAAATCTACAAATTGAAAGAGGGGAAATTAAGGTTGAGATAATAGGAGGAAGTTTTTACTGTGAGGGTGGCAAGGCACTGGAACAGGTTGGCCAGGGAGGCTGTAGAGTTCCGATCCAGTTTGGATAAGGCCTTGAGCAATCTCTGGTCTAGTAGAAGTTGTCTCTGCCCATGGCAGGGAGTGTTGGAACTAGATGGTCCTTAAGGTCCTTTTCAAACCCCCAGCATTCTATGAGTCTGTGATTCTATGACCAAAGTACCAAGCCTGTCAGAGTTAAAAGAATGTCTGGATGCTGCCCCTAGTCAAACAGTTTATTTTAGGTAGTCTTGTGAGAAGCAGGGTGTTGGACTACAAGCCTTATGTGTCCCTTCCAATCTGATATATTCTATGATTATTTTTCAGTCAGCAGTCCTTGCCAAATATGAATGTCATTTATAAATAATTTTAGCTATTGTCAATTCATTTAAAAAAGAAATTAAGAAGAAAAATCACTCACAAAAAGTTTCACCTGTCAGTTCTGCTCACTTTAGATGAGCATTGTATAAATAATAACCTGAATGCAAACTTCTAATAGAAAAAGAAATATAAACTATTCATCAGTTGTCTATATGAGTGCAGATATACTTCTGAAAAACAAATAGGAGGTCTACAGGTCCTATAGACATTCTGACCCCAAATCTCACATTATGAAACTGCCCCTGTTCACCATTGACCAGCCACTGAAAGATTGTTATGTGCTGCTAGACTGTCAGTGATGGATAAATTGCTTTCTTCATATGCTTTGCCCACATTTTTCCTGATATATCTGGGCTTGTGCAAGAATTTCAGTTTCAGTGAAGGCTTGCAGGCAAGCAAACAGCAATTATTTAAAGCTGTCAGGAACAGAATCAGTTATAAGCACAGCCAGCTGCCTGCAGTATCACACCCAAGAAAACATTTGGGTCCCTGCAGTACTTGCTGGAAATCCAGATGATGCCTGTACAAAATCAATGGCTTGCTACTGACCACAGAAGATGAAAAATAAAGAAAAAAGAAAAGAAAAGCAATTTAAACCAGAAATGTGAAATAATCTGGAGAAATACAAAAATTATGTCGCCAAGGAAAATAGTGAAAAGAAATGGCTTAAAGTATTACTAGTGTTTTATGACACCAAGGAATTTAGGATTTATGTTATGTCATGATTAACAGGCTTTATAGTGCCGAGGATTCTACTGAAAGCAGCATCCTAGATAAAGATACCTACACATCAGATTTATTTTCTTTTTCCTGCCACATCCATGTCCCCATTTAAAAGTGAGAGAAACAGGAAAACAATAAACAACTCCTATCGTGACTCAGGAGTAATATTCCCAATACCCCATCTGGATCCTTCAAACAGTGAAAAAAAGATAACATTTTTTGGACCACAGATGCATTTGATAATGTCACTGTTTCCATTTGTCTTTTATTACATAAACCAACAATAAAATCAACATTAGGGAGACACTCTTCCAGGCAATACCCTCTTTTGTCAAAAAACACCCTACTTGGCTGCTCTTGTTTTCCCTACAAGCCATGCATCCCTTTCTTCCTTAGACCATGGTTTCAATAATACTGCTATTGCTGCTATGTAAAATGCCCACTGAGTCAGCACACTGAAACCTGAAAAGGTTTGAGTGTACACAGAGGATGGTTTAGAATTGACAATATTTTTGCCAGATCCTTAATGGCACTTCTCTTTAAGATATTGTGTTGTGAATCTTTCTGCCTTCTAACCCTCACCAACTAATTAACTAACCCAAAAAAAAAAACAAAATTCCATGGCTGATCAGCACCTGGTAGAAAGATTCACCATGCACATTTTCTGCTTTGCTAGGAGATAAAGACAAATTGGAATTTAAGTGTCTATTGTGTTGTAATGGGTAAACATCAGTAAAAAACTGCAGCAAAATGCAAATCTCATTAAGAATTATTCTTTCCAAATGCTCCAAATATTGCTCTTATCTTTACAAGCAAAGAGTCTACCTGAGAACAATTCTGCAGTTTCTGCACAAGACACTTCACAGGCTTAATTAGAGAAATTCCAATGTTCTGCTTGCCAAGACCTTTCTTCTGCTAGACACAGAGCCAGAGTGGCAGGGATTGGAAGGCAGTTCTGGAAAACACCTACTCCAACCTCCCTGCTCAAGCAGGGGTAACTAGATCAAGTTCCTCACACCTGAGTCCACTCAGGGTTTTAGCATCCCCAAGGACAGACTCCACTGCCTCTGGTCAACACAAGGACTGGACACTGACACAAAGGCTGCATAATCAGTGACCTTCACAGCTGACCAGAGAAGCAAGCAAAGGTAAAAAAACCACATAAAATATGTATAACTTAAATTACAGCATGACTTGCAGTTTAGTACAATAAAATGCTACCCAGTCACGCCCTTGGAATCACTGAAATGGGAGCATATGGCCCAGTACAATCAACCTATTGCTTTGATGTGACCTAACAATTCACAGTTCACATGGACAATATCCATTTCATGGTTTCACTCTAATAAAAATTTAATGAAATAATCCTTTAAAGTATAAATCTCTGGTTTCCTGCTTACTTTTATGAGCTAAGTAGGAACTACAACCTGCACCCTATATCTACATTTTGAAGGATCCCAGAGTTGCTAGCTAAAACACTGCTGACTTTAAATATTCCTGCATATTCAGAAAGAACTGGTTGACGGTCTGCATTTCTTTAATACCTGATTAGAAGACAAGAATTTGCTGTTTCCCAAGGGCCACCCTAGTCTCCTGCCATTAGGTTAATATCACTGCTCAGAAAAAACACCATGATGTTTACCATCTTAGACTCAAGCTGATAAAATTCACTGAAAGCCATTTAAAAAGCAACCCGACCCTTTCAAAACAAGCTCTAACTTTTCAACTCAAGCTATTTAAATGTCTGCAAGGGGAAAAGTTTTGTTCCTTGCTTCAGAGGACAGCTACACCACACTGTGAGTACCAAGAAGCAGCGCAAGCTGATGGAGGCTACAGCAGTTCTGATGCAGAGGGGGTCGGCACCAGCAGCACCACTTCTGAACAGCAGCCAGGGATGGGGCTCCTCATCTCCCCTGCACTGCCCATGCTGCTGCTCACTCTAAGTAAGGAAAATCGATTTTCTATTGCTTAGCTTCATAGAATAATACCCTTAAAACATTCAAACAGTATTTAGACACGAGTATTTTCATCTGAGAATTCCCTGGTCTTGTTCTGGGATTTCACTAGGGGGAATTTTGCTTCTGGATGCGCCAGATGCAAAATATATTGCAAAATTCTTAAGCAGGCAAGGGTTTTCTGAAGAAATATAAGTATGCATTTTATTTACCATCCACAAGGCAGGGAAGAATCTTCACCACATTATAG